GAAGAGCGTATCTGCAAATCATCTCTCTGATAAAGATTCATATCCAGAATACAGAAAGAACTCTTATAACTTCAACAAGAAAGTGACAAATAATCTAAGTAAACAGTGAGCAAAAGATCTGAGTAGACCCAAAGAAGATATACCAATGGCCAATAAGCACATAAGAAGACGCTCAATACCATTCAGCATCACGGAAATGCAAACCTGGAGGCTTTCCTTTCTGCTCCTCACCAGCTGGGAGCACGTGGGTGAACCAGCCGGATTCTATTTCCTCATCTATAGAACTGGGTTGACTTGGAGGGACCCTGAAGTCACTTCCAGCTCTAAAATCCTCATTGTTTGACACGTGAATTTAAAGTTCAGAGCAAAAAGAACGGTCTAGTCTGAAATGGAAGATGAAGTCAATAAAGTCTCCTAAGCCTGAGGGATTTAACCAAGTGGAAACTCAGGGCTCTCCAGGCGAATAAAGACCAGACTTGAAGGAAATAGACTTGGGGCCCAGCGAGCCCAGGGGAGGAAGGAAAACGCCTCAGTGCCTGTGTCGCTTTCCCGTGGACACACGTGGTCCTGGATGAACACACACTTCGCTTTGGCTAAGTTCTGAGTGAGTCTGAGTCTCGAAACAGTGTCACCCCCATCTGCCTGGAATGTGTGCCGCCTCCTGTCCCGGGTCTCCCGTGTCACCCCTCCCTCTCCCTCCCGACACAGAAGCATATCCCCTCCTCTCCTCCGAGCACGTGGACTGCAGCTACCCCTGCACTTGCTCCTGCCCTGCTGTGCGGGCCTGGTAAGCCTCTGAGGGTGGGAAGGCTCCCCCACCCCTTTATCCCTGTCGCATTTCAGCCCCCAGGTGCAGTCTACTCCAAACTTAACTAAATGTGAGGACGGATCCCCAAGACCCCCCGAAAGAGGGAAGGGCATGAAGCGGGAGGCACGGGCTTTGCTTGTGCGCTAGGGCGGTAATTTTGTTCCATGAAGCCCTAGGGACTATTCTTCAGACTTATATTTTTAAAGGTTTCATTTGCACAAGTGGTTAAAAAGAGGCAAAAATGTTTGACTATCTCTGTACTCTGACATTTCAGTGGCAACAGCCGTTTTAAAGGTGTGTGTTAATATGTATGCATTACAATGGTCGTATGGCAAAGGCTTCCTGGAGTCCAAGTATGGGAGGGTGCAGACCCAGGAATTAGGACAGTATTCACAGCTGTCTGACAGGCGGACAGTTGTGTCTGCTGGCTTACATTTTAGAGGTGGCAGGTTAAGTAACACAGGCAAAAATAAAAACTTTCACTCAAAAAAAAAAAAACAAAAACAAAACTTCTACTCAATGTGTCCTATGTGTAGAGCTAGGTGTCGTATGTACAATCTGAGAAGTCTGAGAGCAATGGTACAAAGAAGTATTATCATCCCATTTTACAGAGGATAAAAAAGAGGCTCAGAGAGGTCAGGTGATGCAAACAAGCTGCACAGCTGGTAATGGCAGAACTGCCCGCCTCCAGAGTCTGCTGTGCTGTGCTGCTACTCTATGACAAGTACACTGTGACTCACCAAATAAAAGGGGAATTACAAAAGGAACGATCAAAGAACGGCAAAATCTCCACAGAACGCCCTCCAGTGGCTCAAGTACTTACATGGGTAGCAAACGGTAACACTTGAAAGGTTCCATTTCAAAATAAAGATAACAGATAAAAATATGAAAACATGTCTTACAGAAGACGAAACTACTGCACCCAAGAATACCACAAAATGGAACTTTGTTAGCCACCCGCTGCGGAGAGCACGGACGTACTGCTAACAGTTCTGTTTTCCTTCTCTACAAGTACGGACTCAGCGTGGCGGCCAAGAGGGCAGGCCAGGAAATGGCCAGTGCCGGGCCGGGGCAACTTGCCCACTGTGCCTTCAACAATGAAGTGGGGACAGGGCTGCCACAAAGATCGAATGAGCTGAGCTGGGCTGAGGTATCCAGACGTGTCACCTGCTACTAAGTACAAGGTTTAGCAGGCTGATTGCATCTCCTCCTCAAAGACAGAAACTTGGATTTTCATGAAGCAAACGATGGAGCTGGGGGAGTTTTTGTCGAAAGCCTCCCAAGTAAGGAGGAAGAAAAAGGAAAACCCAACACATCCTACACTTGTGGTCCTCAGCTGGATGGCAGTGCCCCCGATGGGGGCCCAGGTACCGAGAGGGCGCTCCTGCTGCCTGCAGGGCCCAGCACTGAGGGTGGAAGGCAGGCGGGAGGGACAGCGGGGCTGAACAGCAGGGCCTGTGCCACGTTCAGGTCTTTCTCCACCTTACACAGGTAAAACAACAACAAGGAGCCCTGCAGTCTGAACCGAGAACCAACTCCGTCTGACATACAAACACAAATGGTATTTTGCATAGTTTATCAGACACTGAACTTTCCAGAAGAGCAACTACTGTGAATACTGATGGACAATTTTACTTTGTTTCGTTTGAACTTTACCAAGACTTTTCACCCTTCTAGAAAATCACATCATCAAGACGAATGAGATCCACAGTCAGTTGTGGCTGCAGGGTCTGCGTGTGTAGCTGCTGTATCCAGGGCGAGCCTACCACACACAGGTGCGGGCACCTGGCTCCTCCACCGCACCTCCCAGCCTAGTTATACCGGAGTATTTTATACAGGTGTGTGCATAATGCTATTAGAGGTTACTTTCATTTCTCTTGTACAGTTCACAGTCTCTTGGCTGTATTGGTATCTTGAAATTATTAAGTCATTTTATAACCTATGTATTTTATTTCAGGATTAGTAAATGCGGCGTTATAAAATATTTTTTATATAAATGGAATGCTGGGCCTGATCAGGGCTGAGAAACACTATGCTGAGGCAGCTATCCTCAGGGCCCCTTTACACTCTCAGAAATTACTGTGGACTCCACGAGCCTTTACTCGTCTGGATGTATCTACCAACACTTACATTATCAGAACTGAAGACACCCAGCACCTGCACATATATCCTAATGTAGGTGATCTTCCACCCATTCCATTTTTTGTTTTTGTTTTTGTTTTTTGTTTTTGGCCGCACTGCGTGGCTTGTGGGATCTCAGTGGGGTCTCAGTTCCCTGACCAGAGATTGAACCTGGGCCCTTGGCAATGGAAAACCTGAGTCCTAACCACTGGACTGCCAGAGAATTCCCTCTACCCATTAAAATTTTAATCTGGGGCCTTCCCTGGTGGGGCAGTGGTTAAGAATCCACCTGCCAATGCAGGCGACATGGGTTCGAGCCCTTGTCCGGGAGGATCCCACATGTCGCGGAGCAACTAAGACCGTGCGCCACAACTACTGAGCCTGCGCTCTAGAGCCTGCAAGCCACAACAACTGAGCCCACATGCCACATCTACTGAAGCCCGTGCGCCTAGAGCCCGTGCTCCACAACAAGAGAAGCCACCGCAATGAGAAGCCCGCACACCGCAAGGAAGGTAGCCTCTGCTCGCCGCAACTAGAGAAAGCCCGCACACAGCAACAAAGACCACTGCAGCCAAAAATAAATAAATTAATTTAAAAAAATTTGTTTAATCTGGGGGCTGCCAACCTTTTAATTTGGGGATCAAAGAGTAAGTATTTTATTTATTTGGTCACGCCGTGCAGCTTGTGGGATCTTAGTTCCCTGACCAGGGATTGAACCTGCACCCTCAGCAGTGAAAGCGTGGAGTCCTAACCACTGGACCGCCAGGGAATTCCCAAAGTGTAAATATTTTAATCTTTTTGAGCCATACTGTAACGGAAGCACTCAAGTCCGTCTGTGTAGGGGGTACCCAGCCATGGACAACACACAAGCCAAGGGGGCAGTTCATGCAATAAAACGTTCATCAACAGAAACAGGCAGTGGGGTATATAGTCTGCTGACCCACTCTGAAGGGTAGAACCATCTCTGACTACAGAAAATAGCCTCAAAATATACACGTTGAAAACATCCTAAAGAAAGAAGTGTGAGTATATTTAAAAATTTAAGCAAAACTCACCTTTGTTCTGTAAACAAAGAAGCCTACCCACCTCCATCTCCGCCCATGAACTTAATATCACAGCCTTCAAAACTCAGCCACATGAAAATTATTAAAAATCATACAGATTGAGATACATAATCATGTTTAGATGGAAAGGGTTAATTCTGTGAGTTTTAGGGGAATGCTGTGCACAGCATTAGCACATCATTTGTGCTAATCACAAATTAGCACATCATTTGTGCTAATCACCAACTATGTAGAGTTCCTTACACTCCTGTGACTAAAAAAAGTGCTGGGAATGCATTATCTCATTTGGTCTTTCACAACACCCCTAAGAGGTGGGGAACACTAGTACCCTCACTTCACAGATGAGGAAAGTGAGGCTGGGAACAGGCAGGTAATCCACCTGGTCATCAGAGCCACCTGTGAACAGATCCACCTGGCTTCCAGGCCTGAGAAATTAACTTCAAGACTCTCCGGTGCTGGACCCTTCCACAGTAGTTAGTGAGGAAACGGGCAAACCCGTGTATACAAGGTGGAGGCCGCAGATGCTGGGGTGCATAGCTTTTCGGTGGGTAGCTAGGGACTTAGTTGTTGTAACATGAGGAGAGACAGAGAAACGTTGTGGTCTCAGCACTAACCAGCTCATAGTAACACCGACAGAACGGACCACAGGCCCTCCTCCTTCTCTGGGCCTCAGTTTTCCCACTGGTGGAGGAAGCCAGACTACAGAACCCTTCACCTCTAAAATTCTGAGGAACCGGGTCAGTCACCTGTGTTCACTTTCAATGTGTAATAATATTTACTGTAATAGATTAAAACAATGGCCGAGAAAACAGATTTCAGGCATCGTGATAAAAAAAATGGGTACAATATTTAAATAGCACTTTTTGTTAACAGATTTCTGAACATTTTTCAAAAAGAAAATGAAGTAAAGAATTGTCAGAGTTCCTTTAATATATTTTTAGCTAATCAAATATCAAGTAGCAGGTAACTATTAACTGCAAAAAAGCCTATTATCTATTTACCATCCAGAAAATGATCTGAACTGGATTATTCATGGCAAGTAAGCCACTGTGTGAAAATACCATCCTATCAAAAGCAAAAGGAGAACAAAGAATCCTGATCTGAGGAGAGTGTTTAAGGGCCAACTGTGTCCAGCTCCAGCCCAGCTGAACAAGAGGGGAAGGCTCTGGCCGCCTGCGGAAGGCCGGGAGGATGCAGGGCAGGGCTGGGGTGCTGCTGGCAGACCTCCCCACGCTGACAACCCAGCCACCGCCACAGATGAGGAAAAGGCAGAAAATGTGCACCAGGTCCTCAGCAAGACAAAACAAAACCTGAAACGAACTGGGTCAGGTAGAAGCTGACTCCTTTCAAAATAAAGCAAAACGTAAAGGGTTCTCGGCTTGGTTATAGTCTATCTGGTCATCAGGAAGGTCCCTGACACCAGCAGAGAGAAACCTCCCCGTGCCGGGCGTGCTCACTTAAGTCTGATGATGGGGGCGGTGTGTGTGTGTGTGTGTGTGTGTGGGGGGGGGAATTGGAAGGTCAGACCTAATCCAATCACTCATGATTTCGAACAGCTCAGAGCTGCAACGCAAATTAGGGAAACGGGTGCACGTTGGGGTGGTATGCGGCGGGGCAAACAAGGAACAGAAGTTGCAGTGACTCCTCTTAGAATAGCCCGCTATTTGGTTTTCTCCCCACAGACAGCAGCTGCCTACAGCAGAAACCGCAAAAGTTAGTCGGCATAATGCCAGAGATGGGGTGGGGGCCTTTGCTACCTTGGGTGGCGCTTCGTCGGACCCTCCGGAGTCCCAGGACACTGTGACCTGCCTTCTGGACTCCATCCTCATCCGTTCTTCTTGCTGGACCTTCTCTTCCTCCAGGATTGTGCTAGAGAGACAACACAGTATGTAAGGGGAGCTGACACGGGGGGAGCTTGCACACACGAGACCCCACCCTGATGGACCCGAGGAGCCCCGGGAAAGAGGATCGGGTTTCTAACTTCACAAAAGGATTCCAGAATGGCCTTGATGCAAGGGGCACAGCCTAAGGTAAGGGAAGGGCAGCTGGCAACACAAGGAGGAGCTGGGAAACCAAAGGGGGGCCAGGATGGATGGTCTGGACGCCGGTTTCCTTTAAGCAGCAGAGTTTCCCTGAGCAAATCCCGAGCAGCGCTCCACACAGCACAGACCCAGCCCTCACAGTGCCACCACATCAGCACAGCAACCGACCAAACAGCCATGCGGCCCAACGCTCCCCACACTGCTCACGACCTCCTACCAACTTTCACTTTAACCGGCACTTTGCCTCATCAGGAAGGAAGGAAATGCAACAGTATCTACAAGCACTTCTGAAACTCCTGCCGGCTTGAAACTGGCAGCTCTGCACCGGGTCACGCGGCTACTTACCCGCCGGGCCGCTCAGGGCTCCGCACCTGGGCTCTGGGCCATCGCGGGAGCGGCCACCGCCCTCTGCTGCCCGCCCGCCCGCCCGCCGCCCCGCCGCCGCGTCCTGGGGCTTCCCAGTCCCAGCCTCCTGGTGGAGGGCAGCAGAGAACCTCCCAGCGCCAGCAGCTCATGAGAGAGTGAGGTCAGCGGCCCCACAGCCTTTCTTTCTAATCTGGGAATCCGGCTCGACTGTTTCCAGGAGCACAGACCTCGGACCACAGTCTGCCTTAGTGATGACAGGAGAGTGAAGCCACCATCAGCCGAGCAAGTGCACTGGCTGGTGAGGAAGACCGGTCACCACCTCCCTGTGCCTCACAGGGGACGGGTGCAGGCTGCCGGGAGGGTGGCCGCTGGGAGCAGGGGTTCAGACAGACCCCTGGCCTGAGAGAGGGCTGCCTCCGATTAGGAGCTTTTCAGTGCCCCGCTCTCAGTCACCTGGCCCTCAAAACAAGTAACAGACTCCAAGTCAGAATTTCCAAAAATTGCGTAGTTTTAAACAACTGAAAAGTCCATAACAATCAGGAAAATAATCAAGTAAAAAAAATTGTCCTTATTTCTAACTTCTGCAAATCATTAAAATAAAGGCAAAGCTATGAGAAGGCCAAGCGTGACAGGTTCTTTAAGTCAATGGAACTCTATTCTAAATAGGTCTCACGAAGGCAATTTATTTCACATGGGCTGTTTGGTGAACTGGGCCACCCTGACCTGAAGGTTACTGCTCCCCGCAAACACCTCCAGATAGGTCATGGGAGGGCCCTTGCATAAGGAGAGCCTCTTGGGCTCCACCTGCCCTGACCCTCCGCCCACACTCACTGTTCTCTGACCCACTGATTCACTGTCTGAAGCCTCCCTCTCGGCCCTTCATCATCTGCTACCACTGAACACAGAATGCAGGGGTAACCGGGAAGCGAGTTCCTCAGTATCATATACCAAAAACTAACATGTCAAAACGCTTCGGAGAAAGCATAACTTTGCTGCTCAGAGTGGCGCAGAATATAAATAACTCATTAGGTATCTGTTTTTACAATGGGAAGGCTCTTCCATAGATGGAGTAAGAGTGCCCGTGGAGACAGTTCTGAACTTTCCTCTTTACAGCTGCTGACGAACCCAGAGCAAAAAACTGGAATGTGCAGAGTGTCAAGGAGGTCAAATTTAAACATATTTTCCCAAAGTCCAAGTATTTTTAGTAGCAATACATTCTGTTTGAAAGCTTTTAGCTGCCTAATGTGAACTGGCAATGAGCCCTCATGCTTCTTCCTGGGATGGTGGTTTCTAAGTCTCAAACTCACCAGAGAAAAAACTATACGAGCTCATAAGACTTTTCATTTAACAAATGTCAGAACATGTAAGAATCATTCTTTGTTTATCCACGAGCCCCATCTAGGAAGAGAACTGGGAAGAGGGGAAAGGAGCATTTATTTAACGTTAGTTTTATTTTTTTATCACTACTTCCCTCACTTTAGGAGGAAAAGTCATCAAAGGAATCAATTCACAGTAAAGGACAAAAAAACTTGCAAGCACGCGTTGACTTTTCTCGGCCTGTGGCAATCCCTGTGAAACTTGGTCTCCTGGGCTCCGCAAGCTGGTATGGAGAGGTCTCATTAAATTTCCGTTCTGGAGCAACAAGATGTGATTTCACTTCTAAGGTATTTTCATGGAGAGCAATAAAGTGGTCTAATAGCGTCTTCGTTTCCAGTACCAAGCTAAGATTCGGAAGCAAATCTCCAACACAGACAAGATTTAGAGTGGACAGGGGCGATCAGTCCAAGTGGGTGACCAGCTGTCCCCGCTGTCCCAGCAGAAAGGGCACTAGCTATGAGCAGCACCTTCTGAGCTGGGCAGCTGGGCCCATTTCAACTTGCGTCCTCCTTCATAAATGAGAACGATACTGCCTGTCCTGTCCACTGTTAGGATGGAGAAATAAAGTAGGTGAAAAAAACCAGTAAGGCTTGGGCTTCCCTGGTGGCGCAGTGGTTGAGAGTCCGCCTGCCCATGCAGGGGATACGGGTTTGTGCCCCGGTCCGGGAAGATCCCACGTGCCACGGAGCGGCTGGACCCGTGAGCCATGGCCACTGAGCCTGCGCGTCCCGAGCCTGTGCTCCGCGGCGGGAGAGGCCACGGCAGTGAGAGGCCCGCGTACCGCAAAAAAAAAAAACAAAAAAACCCAAACCAGTAAGACTTTTAAGTAAATGCTATCTAGTTCTGTACTTTTACCTGCCTTATTTTTTAAAAAATCTATTTCACTTCTGTAACATTTTTCCTGAGAGTGATTATAGTAATACTATTCTTTTCTTTGAAACTACATTTTTTCTATGTTTGAAAAACTTTTTTAAAAAAGACTGGACTTTGATCACCTAAACATAATAATTTTATGATGACATCACAAAATTTGCTTTGGACAGAAAATCAGTCTGGATTCATAGCTACTTAGGCTAATTTGAAAAACATCCAGAGAAAGAGCAGCAAGAAACTGGATGAAAAAAAAAAGCCACGAGGGAAATGGCTTGTTCTGGCAAGTTCATGGGAATGCCAGCTTTGAAACGCGATCTCTTCTAAGTACCCAACATCGCCTCACCACAAAGGAATGGAGCTGACCCTTCAACAACCCCCCTTGGTATCTTTGCAGAAAACAAGGCTTGAGACAAAGCTGGGACGGCACCTCGCGGGCAGCGCACGCCTCCCTCCTTCTTCTCTCATAAACACGCACAGCAGAGACCGAACATCTCACTTCACGAATACAACAAAACCGCATCTCTCTTTACTTATCAGGTACCTCAAGCTACAGGAAATAATGCACTTTTGTTTGGTTATGGTGTTACACATCTCAAAATTATTTGAAAAGAAGTGATTTCTACTGAAATCTTACTTTAGAATGGTGACCTCTTTGTATTTCTGGCAAGTTCGAGAAGCTCCTATTTGACCAATCCTCTTGCAGACAGCAACTACGGACTAGGACAGAAGAAACAGGCCTGTGACAGCACAAAGCAGTTAGGCTCTGGAGGGAGCTGCCACTAGGAGGAAGGGAACGGCACTGGGTGAGCCCCCAGTTTAATGGCCACTAGCCAGAAAACCAGCCCCAGTCTTCCTGGTTTGAAGAGCCAGAGGACTGAATTTGGGTCACCACAGCTGGTGGAAAGTGAGGGGGGAAATCCCAGGAAGAAGAAAGCCAGGGAGGTGTACCTCAAATTCTGAGTATAGATTCTGCCTGAATCACTAGCTGACCCCTGTACTAGGCACATATAGGGCAGGCTCCAGGCAGCCCAGCTGAGGCTGAACTCAGCTGAATCGGGATTCGAGCTCACAGAATGGAGGGAGTTTGCTATGTGAGACCTGCCAAGTTAGCTGCCTGCTAAAACCAACCAACCAACCAACCAACCAACCAACCACTCTTCAGAGGAATAATACTGAATCCAGAGTTTCTACAACCTATCAGTCACAATGTCCACGACATAATCTAAAATCACTTGATGTACAAATAACCATTAAAATGTAATCCATTTTCGAGAGGAAAAGAAATCTAAAGGAAGCTGACTCCAATGGTGACTCAGAAGTTGTAATTAGCAAGCAAGGACTTTGTAGAGCTATTATTATATTCAAAGACATAAAGGAAAATTTGGTCATAGTTAATGAAAAGATAGGAAACACCAGCAGAGAAACTAAAGGTATAAAAAAGAGCCAAATGAAAATTCCTAATGAAAAATAAAATATCTGAAATAAAATCTCCACAGGATTGGACGATCAGTGGGATGGAGATGAGAGAAGAGTCAGGAAAATTGAAGATAAATCAATAAAAATTATCCAATCTGAAGAACTTAGAGAAAAAAGACTCTGGGGGGAAACCGAAAAAGAACAGAGCCCCTGGAACCTGAAGGACACTATCAAAAGACTGAACATACATGGAACTGGAGTTTTAGAAGAGAGAAAATGGAGCGGAAAAAATATCTGAAGAAATAATGGTCAAGGACATACATTTACAGATTCAAGAGGTTCAGTGAAGCCCAAATATGATCAATACAACAAAAACCACACCCAAGCACATCCTCGTTATAAACTGCTGAAAACCAAAGATGAAATCATGGAAGAAGCCAGAAAAAATGACACATTACATACAGAAGAGTAATAATTTAAAAGGCCAGTGACTTCTCATTAGAAATAACAGAGGCCAGAAGATAATGAAAGAAGGCTTTAAGGTGCTGAAAGAAAGAAAGGAAAAAAGAAAAAGAAAAATGCTGTCAACTCAGAGTTCCATATCCAGTGTAATGAAGTTCAATTCATTTTCAGATTAAAAAAAACAAAACAAAACCCAAAACTAATCAACAGGCCCAACACCACAAGAAATGTTAAAGAAGTTCTTCAGACAGATGGGAAAGCCAAATGGAAGAAAGATCTTTAGGAAAGAATAAAGAGCACTGTATGGGGTTAAATATAAAAGATTTTCCCCTT